TATTATACGAATTTTGCTGCATAATTTTTGTTTTTCACTCTTTCACAAACCTGCATCTGTTGCATACATTTTGCATAATTCCCTTCATTCTGCACTTTTGCATTTAGTAATTTTTGCATTTTCTACATTTTCTGCATTTCTTTTTTGGCTTTAACTTTTTGCACTTTTCTTGTTGCATTCTGTAGATGTCTGCACTTTTTTTGCTTTGTTTTTGTTCTATTTTTCTGCATTCTGCTGCATAATTTTCTGTTTTCTCATAAATTTTGTTACATCCTGCATAGTATTCTGCATTTCTGCATGCTGTTTTCAAAATTCTGCTACATAGTTTTATGCAATTCTACATTCTGCACTTCGCATTTTGCTTAATTTTGCATTCTCTATTCTACACAATTTCATCAAATTTTGCATAATTATTTTTAGCATTTCTGCATAATTTTGCAGATTTCTATGTACATACTACTATAACTCTGCATTATTTTCTGCACTTCCATTCTGTTTCTGCATGATTTTTCTGTTTTAATTTTCTGCATTCTACATTTTGCTGCTACATCATTTTCTACATATATTTTTCTACATAATTTTCTGCTACATCATTTTCTGCACTTTTGTATTTTGCATAGCATTCTGCATAAATTTTTTGCATTCTATTTCTACATAATTTTTTGCACTTTGTATTCAACATTCTGCATAATTTCTCATTCTGCTCATCACACTCTGCATAATTTTCACTATCTAGTGATTCTATTTTTGTTTCTTTTACTACTTCCTCCTCTTTTCATTCTGATTTAGATGTTATGACTGAGAGAACTTTAAAAGAACTAGCTTCACCTGACTCATTTGTTGCCCAAGTTTCATGATCTTGTAGGTAAGGATTCATTTAAACACCTCAAAGAATTCTACATTGTTTGTACCACCATGGGACCAGCTGGAGTTCCTGAGGATCACATAAAGTTGAATGTAACACCTTAATTTTACTTTCCAAAATAATGAATTTCACAAAAATAAGGGGAATAAACTTTTTCATTCAAGTAAAATCCTCATTAAAATATAAATTTAAGGAAAGGGGTTACAAAATTCATATCAAATCACTGCTACAGGATTATTTCAAATACATAAATTTCAAAATGATATCCTAAGTCCTATAGCAGTTCCATCCACCCCTTCACTAAGACCAGTGCTGATCGTCTTGATCACCTGAAAAATGAATGTAAGAGTGAGTACTCTACACTACTCATTATACAAACAAATACAGAGTCTCACCTTGTGCATATTTACATCATTTCTAATACTATTCATATAAATATATTCACAGGCAGCATTACCACTCAATTCATTTTTAATTCAACTCCGATGCACTCACGGCACCAAACAGTTTACACACACGTAATTATCAAACAATAATCCCATGCACTCACTGCACGCCAGCCACACTCACTGTGGCACTGTGATCACAGATTTTCACTATAGATGGTCGCCGGTTACCTCTACCTCACAGATACCACGTGGGCAGTCACGGGTCGCTCAGCACAGGTAGTGGTCAAAGGTCTAGTCAGCAAAAAAGTGTGTGGCCCGTGGTGCACCCATACTCACTATTGGTGTCACCACCACTTTCTCTTCACCAAAATATTTCTACCGTCTCCATCTTCCACACCCCCAGTGTATTGCTAAATCGTTCATAGTACAATGTAACAGCATTAACATGCCCCATCCATATACATTTTAGCATTTAGTCACAATTAATGGCACAAAGCCCACAATCATTTATTTTACACAGCTCTTAGGCCCACATTTGTTCGCAATAATCGTTCTCAATACACGACACAAGTCCCCACATGCATTTACAACATAATTCATTTCAACCACAACACAATATTCACTATTTCACAAGGCTTTTGGCCTACACTTATTCATATTGCACGGCACACACATTGCCCTTATTTACTCACACAATATTTTCAACATAGTTCACATTTACATTTCTCATTTATCAAGTATTAGCATACTCACACCACACAATCACCCATCACGGGTTTCCACATGCTTTCACACCTCACAACACACAGCAAATTCCATCAAATACATATTTCCTACCCTCTATCTCAACCACATTGCAATATTCATCAAAATACATGACAATCAAACCCAAAGAGATAGGGTAAAGTCCCCCCTTACCTTGGATTGAAGACCCACACTCGAATTCAATCACGAAAGTGCTCCCCACACAGATTTCAACCTAAATACATAGAAGAACTCCATGAGGATACAAGGAAACTGAGAAACAGAAAAAGGGGATGAAAAACAAAAATCCTAACCATTAAAGCTCACTTTCAAGCGTTCCCAACATGAATCCAACCTTCAATCAAGCTCCTGAACGGCTTTAAAGGCTATTTAATTGGTGGAGTAGGGTTGTGGATCAAGAGAATCGAAGAAATTTCGAAGGAAAGGTGAGAAATAACCTTTCTCGAACCCCCCCTTTAAATCCTTTTTGGTCGTGACACTCTCGCTACAGCGAGATATTCTTGCTACAGCGAGGGCACCCTCTCTGGTTTCTGCAGCGAAAAACTCAGACAAAACTGCACTCTGGTTTCTACAAAATCTTGCTACAATGAGGCCTTCTCGCTACAGCAAGACTACGCTAAGAAATGCACCCGAAACTGTGGCTTTGTCTCTACAGCGAGAATCCTTTCGCTACAGTAAGAATGCCCCAGTATTGCACCCTTGACCTGTTTTTCAGTCCAATCATAGAAAACTAGAAAACTAGAGGACAAGCTAGATGATTTAGCTTCTCAGATGGAAAATACTCATGTTGCTGGTCATAGAAAACTAGAGGACAAGCTAGATGATTTAGCTTCTTTGATCAAGCAATTGGCATTGTCACAGAGAGCTGCAAGGTTGTGTGACATTTGTACTTCACAAAAACATCCCACTGATTTTTGTCCTACATTGTATGAACTTGCAGGTTAGATGAGTCATCCGAACTTGAGATGGAGGAATTTTACATAGCAACAACAACATCAACTTCCACCATAAATTGTTGCACCTTCCAAGAGTGAGCCTTCCCTAGAAGAATTAATGAGAGAAATGGCAGTTAACGATCTAAATTTCCAGCAGAGAACAGAAGCAACCATTCAAAACTTGGAAAATTAGATTGGACAGTTGGCTTCTGCTTTGAATCAATTGCATTCTCAAGGTTCTGGTAATCTATCTACACAACCAATTATCAATCCATATAATGTTAATACCATCACCATGAGATCAAGAAAGACCATTTAAGACTCTCAAGAGTAGCAACCAACAAATGAAGATCTTAATGCTACTACTCTAACAAGTGATTACAGTCCAACAAGTGCAAAATTTGTTGCTACTCCTCAAGCTACTGCTACTAATGCAGTAGAAAATTTTGAGTAACCTATTCCTCATTCATTTCATTTGGTTTGTCATATTGATTTGTTAAATAATTTAGTGGATGATAATTTGACCGATTTTTTAGATTATATTGATTATCCTAGCTTAGCTAATTATTTTGATTCCTTTACTTGTGATGCTTGTACTAATTTTGCAAAATGTAGCTTTTATGCTAAGATTGATACATATATGTATGGTGATTTTGATGCAGCTATTGCAGATTCTAAGAAAGTAAATCATGATGCAGCCATTGCAGATTCTAAGGAAATGAATCATGATGCATTTGTTGAAGTGCAAGCTGCACATTTAAATCTAATTTTTATATTGCCAACTGCATCAGAATTGAAGCCTTTTCTTGAGCAGTTGAAGTATGAATATTATATCAACGTATATCCAAGAGAGCAGCAACCTAAATACAACAGAAGGACACAATATTCTGCATATCAAGGCAATAAAGAGCATGAAGAGAAGCTCATTGAGTTTATCAAGCAGCTGAAAGCCCCTTCATAGTTATTTCTTCCACATTCCCAATTAAATGAAGTGCCACATCATCCTGACGTCACATACGCGTACAGTGCGTGTACAATACAAGTGCATAGTATTTTTGGCGTGAACAATGTTTCCGGCGATAAATAGTAATTTTCGGCAGTGAACAGTAAATTTTGAAAATTTTCTATAAAAAGGGGGCTTCACACGAAATTTTCATTTCTTTACTCATATCGAAGGTTCTCAAAGGTTCTAAGGCCATATATTGCCATTTTCTCCCATAATAAACCCTCCTAAACTTAGATTTCTTGCCAGATCTGAGATTCTACGTCTATTCTGAAGGATTTGAAGTAAGTTTCTATAAGTTTGAAGTTAGATTTACCGTTCGTTTCTCTTCTACTTCTCTTTCTTATAGATAGTTGATGATATCTTAGGAGAAACTCTGTTCTAAAGCCGAATCTTTGGTGAATCTTGCATTAAAACAAGTAATACTCGGTAGATCTGGTGTGAATCATTATTCTGAGCTAAGGGGAGCTTACTTTAACCTATGAACTACGTTTTGTACGGTTTAATATGCTATTTCAAGATATTTTGTAACACCTAATTTCTACCAAAACCCCATATACTAATAATATGACTTAAGATTCTACAATATGGCACACCTAAATTAGACGAGTGAGAGAACTCAATCAAACAGTATTCATATTCCAACTCAATTTTTCAATTTATCAGAATAGCTCGAATTAACTAGAAGAGAACGATTATAACAATATACTTGCATCGAGTTCACTCATCATAATTTAATAATTTTATTTATCTCACATCTCAACAATATACAAGTCATTTATGTTAATTACCCCAATTATTCGTGGGATGACTTTAAAATGACGATACCGTTAAAGATAAAAAAATTTGGAAATATAATAAAGAGTATGTTGGTGAAAGAAAAGTGTATATATATATATATATATATATATTAAAAACCATTCAACCAAAGTGTCCAAGGTAAACAAAAATCAAAGCCAAATAACCCCAAAGTTTAGTGTTTCAAAATAATAAAAACAACCTAAGTCCTACGAGCAGTATTAATCCATGATAGAATAAAACAACTACAAATAAAACTCTGACGAAAAGGAATCCTCGCTGGGGTCAGACTCTATTCCGTCAGAGTCATGAAAGTCGTTCACTGGTTGAGAACGAGGAGAAGGCGGCAGGTCATCCGGGTCGCTGTCAATCCAGTCGATAGTGGGTAGGGGCGATCGAGAAGTAGGTGGTGGTGGTGAAGGGCGTCGGACAGAGGGTCCGGCTTCATCGGGAGGAGATGCTCGAATCTGTGGGAGGTGGCGAGATGCTGGCCTGACGGAGGACTCGATAACCTCGACGTCTTTTAACTCGGGAGCAAGGGTAGGACTGGGAGGAGGGGTAGGCTCGGGGTCAGGATCGATAACGGTCTTACCTTTGTCAATAAAAATTTTAAGACGTTTGGCTGGGGGTTCTTGTGGTGGAGAAGAAGGGGGTGAGTGGATTATAATACTCCGTTCTGAAGGTAGAGGTACGGAGACGTCTGCAAAAAGGTGGTCACTCCAAGTAGGCTTCCAGTCGCCTTCAGTGAGAGGCCCCATGGTCATGGAGACCATCCCTTGGTATACGAGACGACGCGTGGCCTCGTCGTATCTCTATACTGCTTTCTTGTCGGAGTCCTCTCCCCATATCATTGCTCGCTGAGGGTCCATCTGTCATACAATCATGCAATACATACAAACACACACAACAATAAAACACGAACAGAAAGGGTGAGCTCCAATACAATCAGCCATCAGATATTGAGTAAGGAAGAAAATCAGAGTAGTATCAAGCACTTACGAAGTCACATTTCAATAAACACACAGTCATAAAAAAATGCCCAATAAACAGTTACAAAATGTAGGCGGAGTCACAGAGATTCGTCGCAACATAATTTAAACACTAACGCTTAAAACGTCACTACTTCCTCAGTTTGTTCCCACCATTCCTCCAGTCAAGGTGATTGGAGGCCCTCGTTCCCTACAAGCACACATTGTACGAAATCCATCAAGAATATTCTTCCATTTAACCATTCCGGTCCCTCAGGAATGAGTCCTTCAACGATCCTCGGTAATGCTTGCTCGCGTCAAGATTAGTGGAGGTTTCGATGGCGACGTGTCCCAGCCACAGTGAGCTATTCCGCACCATTGGGGCAACCCCCCTCCACTACCCCCAAGGTCCTTCCCTCGAACCTGAACACTCACATCCCTCAGCTGTGCTAAACTGTGACCTTGACTCTCCATCTTCCATATCAGGCACTTAAGAGTTTCGTAACCGCATTCTCACTTCATTGTTTTTGAACGCACATTAAATTCCTAAAGGTCACAAACCACATAACCAAATCCACGCTCATAAGAGCTAGTACGTTCAAAGAAAAGAAGAACCATTCATCCACAGTCTGAGAATAAAAGAAAAGGAAGGAAGATGAAGATAGTTATAAAAATTTCGTTGAAATATCTTAGTCGAAATGTACCTTCAAACAAAATAATCATCAAAGAATCATGAAAATAACCGCAAGTTTAATCACACATGCAACTCATTTCTACCACAAATTTTTCGTAAAATAGTGATTAGGTGGTAGGAGAATTCTTTCATGGTTAAGAAAAAGCGTTCCTTGGTCATACAGAATCAAACCGAGAGAAAAAGGTAAGTAATTTCTCAGTTAAAACAAAAGGATGGAGGGCAGTCGATGAAAACTGAAAAGAACACACGGATTTATATAGTTACTTTAGCATGCAATCGGATATTCATCAAAGTTACCAACTTTATTCAATAATAAAGGTAAACAACCAAGACTCGTACAAGGATTTCAATATAATCAACATGCAAAACTATTTCAGCCACAATCAAGTTCACGCAAGTTACAAAACATGGATTTTTAAAATACTAACCAAATAAAATCACCACGAGATGAAGAAAAATGGTTTGCATGTAAATTTTATTGATGAAGATCGGAGACGAAAACAAGAAGAAGAGAGTGCATGCAGAGTTTACAAGTTAACAAACAACCACATGCATTCAAGCGCAAACACGAGCTCCCCTAACCTTGTTTGGTTTGAGAAAGAGAGATAGAGTGGAAGGCTTGGTCTTGGTACTAGCAGAATCTTGATCACAACTTGAATCCTTGGTGTTTTGTCGCCTCCTTGAGGTTGGTGATGGAGTGTGTTGTCCACCAGAGAAAAAGGGCATAGAGGTTTTGTGAGAGGGTGAGAATGTGTCGAGAGAGAAGAGAAGTGGTGAGGTTGAGAGTGTTTTTGAAAATAAGGGGAAAAGGGCGCGTGAGGATTAGAAGGTGTTCTTATATAGTGTGGCTTAAAGCTTTGCCCATTGGTCTTCCAAAGGCTGGCGGTGAGTTGCACAAGAAGGGTTTTAGGGCTAGGTTAGGCGAAGTGACACACCCTTTCGCCTTCTTAATTGAATAGTCACGTCTCATGGTGTCCAGGTGTAGGTGATGCGCCTTGTCAAGAGCATTCAATGCACAGAGTGCAAAAGAAGCAAGCCGTTGGTGATCCACACGCCTCCACACGCCATTCATCATGATGGAGTAACCAAATGGGGGTTTGACCTAGGTAAGAATGGGTAATTAATGCACGTTGGCGGCTAGGGTTTGTTGTGGAGGGAAACGGGTTCAAACCCTTCGTGTCCCACAAATTGAAAAAGGTGATGTTATTTTGAGTGGTTAGTGAAAGGTGGTGCCTTTCTCTTTGCCTTGGACGTGTGGCCAGTGTCATAAAACAGGAAATAATTGCATGCGATTAATGGAGCATAATTTCCAGAATAAATGTTGCTAAGTTTTTGGTTGTACATTAAGTGCAGGCTGGCGGCTAGGTCAACTCCAGAAGGAAGATGAGTAGGTTTTTCCTTTGTTTTTCTCATGAGGTTAAATGCGGTTAAGAGGTAAATTAGGTAACTTGAATGATGGTTTAAATGAGGCAGGAGAGGCCCCTCGGTTTTAAGCAATTAAAACATGGTTATTAGGGAAAAAAAATAATGTGAATGCTTGATTGTTTTCGGTAATGCCATGCAATTAATGCAAGGTGGCTACTTAAATTTTCTAATGGAGGGTGGCGCCACTTTTGGCCATGCGTTCACACAAATCTCCCCAAGGTTTGGCCATAAATGCAAGGTAATTAAGGAAGGAATATATATATGGTTGATGTCAGGCACTGTTCTGGGGAATTAATTGCCCCAGGTGGAACGTTTCAAGCTGATTGGCACGCCCACTAAATGCAGGTAACCGATTGGATTAATATAGAGGGAATCAAGTAGGCGCCTCTTCACTTCCCTATGGTATTTAATGTAGGTGGTTAATTAAGGGAGTTTGATGGCGGTTAAATGAGGAAATAGGGGGTTTCTTCGAGTAAATGGGAAGGCAAGGGTATCCTCTCTAATTAACTACAAGATTCTTGCTAATTTATGATTAATGACCTACCTTAATTAAATGTGCACGAGAACTTGAAAGGTTCATAATTAAGGAAAGGAATAAAACTCCATCCTCGGCTACACCTAATTAGAGTAACTAGGGAATTGATAATCGTATTAAGTGCAATTATTTAGGCTCAGAATCTAGGTCATTATGGCCAGTGTCTTTCTCTTTCCTATCTCAGGCATTAAATGAAAATTGACTGCTCTAATTAAGAGAGGCATATTGGATAAAATCCTAATTAAATGTACAAGAATATGGAAAGTCTATACTCGAGGAAAGAATTGAAGTCCTATTTCTCGGTTGCACCATATATGGAAATTTTTCAAATGATGGTCAATCAAAGTGTAACGGTTCAAAAGGTGGCGATTGTATTTATTTAGGGTAACTAGGAACAATGGAATTGTATTAAGTATAATTAATTTAGGCTAGAATCCTAGGCTATCAAATTCGATTCTCCCCCTCTTGGACATGAATGACTTTTCAGTTACTAGCACTAAATGAGGAAAGATTGAAACTTGCCCCCTTGGATCCTTTGTAGTACACGTGAGTCCTAGGGTAAAAAAGATGGCGGTTCTCATTAATGGTCTAACTTAGTGTGCATGGTACCAGAATAAATGGAAGACTTAAGTACTCCCACTATTAGAACCTAGTGAACATTCAATATAAATAAAGAAAGTCACACATGCAGTTCCACTTAAATTTAAGAAAGCATATCACACAATCAAATAATAAGAATTAAAAGAACTATGTAATATTAATAACAATAATCAGGGGGTAAAAGAAGTGGGGTCCATTCATATGACTCAAAAGACCATCTCGCCCCAGGTTAATCTCACTGACCTTGGGTTAAGTCAAGGTAACTTCATCACATAATCATATAGACATACACATACGAAATTAACTCAACATGCCCTGGGAGAAATAATTATGCACACAGGGAACATAATATGATTAAACAGTTATAATCAAGAACCGAACTGGAGTAATAAAAAAAAAATCAAACAAAAGAGTTACTAATTAATAATCAACACTCTCTACCATGTAGGCCAAAATTTGGGATGTTACATATTTTGATATGATGTTGGTAGATCTATTGAATAAAAGTTATTTTCTAAGTTGTAACTGTTGTTAATTGATTTAAAATGTTGAGATTTTGGCTGATCTATTATAAACTTGCCTTAGTTGAGCTGTTAAAATAACTTTGGCGGTGTGCATCATGTTGAGATATATGTTTTGCATCATTATAGAGCCGAGTTACATGTTTAGGTGGGTAGACGTGTAATGGTAAGTTCATGCTGAGCTGCTGTGCTGTGCTGTCTGGATCCAAATACGGGAATAGGTCGCTCCCAGACCGGCTCGGTTCCTTCTAGATTACTTAGGCTATGAAACCAGCTGGAAACCGTTTTCATTCTGTGCATTAGATGGGCTGGAAATGCATGGGGTTATTGTTGTGAGAAATATTTTGCTCTATATGATACACCTTTTCTTATCTCAGTACTTAAATGATGTAATTCACTACTAGCAAGTGTACTAGGTAATTGTAGCAAGTTATAAAATGTGGAAATCAGATTGAGTCCCAAGTATCGTCCTCTAGGATCTTATTTTCAATCACCAATTCACAAGATAATAACCATTTACACCAAACAATTCATTGAACAAATTTCAATATGCAAGAAAGTAAATTTCAGAATTAAAGAAATGAGAAATTGTTAGAAACAGAATGTTAATTTGTACTATTCGAATGAATTACGAATGGAAGAAAAGTTAGGAATTTATTTCGCTAGAATATCAATATTAATTCAGTTCTGCCTGTGAATATTCAAGCAATTGATTGATTGTCAATCGGTTTCTCTTTACAATAACCAAAGATTGATTCCTCAATTCATTGGTCCTAATATTCAACCAAATCTCCCTAACTCCTTAGGCCAAATTTAGTTCAATATTGCATTACGAATTAGAACCAAAAGATTGCAAAACTAAGACCACTTATCCCTAAGAAAATCAATAGTTTTGGGAATTAATTCAGATCCAAGCAACAAACCCAATTTCCATTAGTAAAGGTTAATTTTTTATTAATCAATTGAACTTCCATTCAAAAAATCAAGTAAACACAGAATTAATCCCTCAATCAAA